GCAACAAATGAATAAATAGATAAAAAAATGTGAAAGCTTTCAGATATTACATTACGCCTGAAGGGGCGTTTTTTTAACGTTTTGTGTCTTACCTTTGTTTATTAAATATCATGTTCTTCACATTTAAACCACAAAATTCAATTTAACAGCAATATCGCAAAATAATTTTAAAACGAATGTATCTTTAGAATTTCCGATACACAGTCTCGCGTGCTGGAGATAAAATGTTTTTTATGTGCAACATTTCCATTGCTCGCTTTGAAATCGTTGAATTTGTTAATCCAAAATTCGTTATGGTGTTACAAAATATGAAATTGATAATAAAACAAATTCTAAATTTTAAATTACGGCTTCCAGATGCCCATATTCAGTCAAAGATTACGTTATTCAAAACTGGATGGCTCCAGGTACCGTTGTTTCAGCACAATTCGAGAAATATACATATATTTATGCAGAGTCTTCATTATTTAATTTGTTTAAATATATCAGAGGGCGATAATATTTAGTGGCAACAATTTGAAAAGGGAAACGGATACTTAAAGTTTTCGACCAAAAATGCCAAACCGAAATTAATAGGTTAATAATTCTGGGGTAACGCCTTTTAGGCTAATAAAACCCAGTACACAGTTATTGCATAAAAAATCAAATTGGAAACATCTAAATACAATTATTTGCATAAATTTACAACAGTATGCTTCATAGTTATGATTTAGGAAAACTTACAAATTTATTCTGCAAGTGTTATAGCCTCATTATTAAGATATTTGATTTTTTCCAACATTCCAACCAAGCATTTTATACAAATAAATATTGCCGTTTATTCACGTTCGTATTGCTAACGTAAGATGCATATGTAGCTATTTTGGACCGTTCTCTCATTTATTGTTAGAAGACAGTAGTAATAAAAATATATGAAATTCTGAACGATTAGATAAAAATATAACTATTGCGTAAGAGAAAGGATATGCGTTTCTGTTCGTTATGTCATAAAGTAGTTATTAGAATATTTTTCTAACTTATTTTCAGCTATTTATGTATTTCGAATGATTAATGTTTTTCTTTGTTGAGCTGCTCTTTATAACTTATGCCACGCAAGGATCCATAGAATTATATCCTTTCCTGAAATCACGAACCTGTGACTGATTTTGAACTACCGCCGACCTTGTAAACGACGTGGATATGTCTCGGCGTCCTTGGAAATAAATTAAAAATGGCAACTAGAGAGATAACGTTAGAAATCATAACTATGAATAGCAGCCTATGTCTAATACTATAAGACACACAACTGTTATGAAGAATTCGTCGCGTTTCCTGTAATAAATGCTTTTTCGCATTCATTATAATCATTTTAATCTCAATTCAGATACACATAAAACCTGTCACTAAATTTTAGTCCACTTTAATATTAAAAAACTCTGAAAGAAAAGGTACGAAAGTAATAAAAGGAATTAAAACAAACAGTTTACATATGAGTAGAGGTTGCATCACCGAATGCAAATAGGCAGCCAAAATTAGCAAAAATCGCAATCCCGCAGTCACATCACAACACCTTAGAAATACAAGGAGGACCTACACGTCAATTCGCAAGTAGCGATAGTTCCGTGTAATCTGAGATAGCCAAAACGGAAAGTATGAGCCGAAGACCCCATTTGCAACTTGAAATATGTTGGAGGGCTATCGGGATGTTGCAAGCTGGTGCAAGACAATCCGCTTTTGCCAGAGAGCTGAATGTGTATCAAAGTATCATCAATAGTCTGTAGAATCGTTACCAAAGGGATCAAAACCTCTGTAGAAGACGTGGTTCTCCACATCCGATGATTACCACAACGGCAGATGATCGCTGCCTGTTGCTATGTGGAACATGCCGTAGATCACTAACAGCACGGCAGCTGGCGTCGCATCTCTCTGTTGGTGCAGGACGCCCAAATCTCGCCAAAGTGTGTAGCATCGACTGCCTGCTGCGTTTCCGCTCTGCACCGGTTCGCTCCTGCTTAAACGTGCTTAGTGCGGAGGCCTGATCGACTTAAGGAGACATTGAGGACAGAACCTTTCAACCTCATGTAGCATCGACTGCATGAAATACGCTGTAAGCCCTGTGGTTTGTGTTCCTTTGACTTCATCGCATTTCAAAGTGCGGTTGAATTGGGCCAGTGCACTCCTCAGTTGCATACCAAAGCAGTGGAGTCACGTAATCTTTACGGATGAGTCTGGATTTAACATCCAGAACGATTACCGAAGGGTAATACTATGGCGAGAACCAGGGATACGCTATCTGGCGCCACACATCGTCGAAAAGGGTCATTACAGATGAGGTATGGTATATTGAGATTACGGCAAAGCACACTAGGGCTATCTGCCTAAGAGGAGGGATGCCTTCGTGGAGGACTTTCTAAGGGAAACTGGCTCGTATACACGTTACACATGGGTAAAACCACGATAACGCTCATGCAGCCAGCCCGTTCGCGGGATTCGAACCTCGGACCGAACTACCAGTGTTCAGCGACTTTACCGCTCGGCCGCTGGTGGGCTATTGCAGATGAGGAGGCTTATTTGTATTGGCTGGAATAGCAACGAACGGCCACACCGATTTCTACGTGGTTCCCAGTGGTTACGAAACTCAAGAATCACATCTGTTCATTTATTAGCCCAAAGGATCTCAGAAGGGCTATTAATTTCGTTTTGGCATTTTGCTTCGATTCACTTTCTGCGTTGATTCGCTTTTCAAACTGTTGCCACCAAGTATTAAAGGCCTGTATTATATTTAAAGAAATTAATTAATGAAGAATCTACATAAATGCATGTACGTTTCTCGCATTGTTATAAAACAACGGTACCCAGAGCCATCCAATTTTGAATAACGTAATCCTCCACCGAATATGGGCATCTGGAAGACTTAATTTGGAACTTGTTTTATTGTCCATTTCAAATTTTGTCAGACATTAAAGAATTTTCGATTAACAAACTCAGCGATTTCAAAGCGTACAATGGCAACACTGTGCGGAAATATTGTTTTTTTGTCCAGCGCGCGAGACTGTGTATCGGAAAAAAGATATGCTCATTTAAAAATTATTTTGCGATATTGCTGTTAAATTGAGTTTTATGTTTAGGTGCGAAGAACTTGATATTTAATAAATAAAGGAAACACACAAACCTTTAAAACGCTCTAACCAGCAAGGCCGTATATCTATGGTGTGGAATATTTTTTGTGATATTTGTAACGACGTATATATACGTGCATATTATAATATGTCAAAAAATTAAGGCAGTATATTAAAAGTACACATATCCAGATATAAAATACCAGGAGAATTTTTACATTAAAAAGTTAAGGAAATAATTTATTCTCATAGTAGTTTTGGGAAATTTGTGCTTTCTTAGAGAAAACCGTGGCCTCTCAGAGGGTTAATAAACGTCCTTTTGGGCATAATATAAAATCCGAAAGCTTTCAGATTTTTATTTATTTTTTTTTTAGATTTAGATTTTTTTTTTACTTGTTTTATAAATTCAGCAGCAAAAAGTATAGAAATCGTTGATAAATACTAAAACTTTGTAGAAATTGTGCCTAAGTTGTAGCAAATCCTTGAATAGACGTGTGACTTGTCGCTATGTCTAAGATAAAACAGAACGTAAGAAGGATGCAAAAGACCCTTTTAATTCAGAACTAAAAATAATTTGACAGAAAGCACACTTCTTGTGCTTACAAAACAGCCAGTATTCATAGCGTGACTCATAAGTAATGAATTTAAATTACAGTTAAGTTAATCTTAAGTTAGCCAAAGGCTACACAGAAGTAAATACCGCGCAAGTTGGCTCAATTCGATACCGGCGTGACAAGCACTATTGGCAAGAATAAAACAACGCCACAAACAGACTACTGTAGAGGAATTGCAACTATTAACGTAGCCTTCAGCAAGCGGAACACGCTGTGATTATAATTTAAAACTTCCCTTTAAGTACAGTCTTTTTTTTATCTCATTTGAATACACGCGGACTGAAATTTAGCATTCTAGGAGGAAAACGGAAAGGAAGAATGAGAAAAAATGTACTGAACATAAAAAATTACTGGCTAGATAAAAATAAATAAATCCTTAAAACTTGCTTAAAAGAGGTTTTTTTTTTTTTTTTTTTTTTTTTTTTTTTTCATTTATAAATTAAACTGAATACTTAACTGCTAACATAAAGGCTGTCCGCATTCCATCCTGAAATTATAAATTTTCTCAAAGCTGGAATTTTTCCATGGTTGGAAACACTTTGCTTTAAGCTAACTTACTAACACTTATGGTTTCTTGGAGGACTGTTGATGTGATCTAGATTTTCTCTACTAATCTGGATGTTTTGCATACTCATATCGATGCTGATTGGAAAACTTTGTAGAGCTGTTAGATTTTTCTGAATAAACGACGGGAAACATCAGCTATACTTTAGGTGCAATTAAAACTCCAAAAACTCCGGTTACTAATTGGATATACACCAGTTACGTCGAAAGAGTACGCACGAGGAAAGGCGAAATTTCATTATAACTTAATCATGTTGTTCAACGTAAGTCGTACAAAATAAAAACGTGTGCTTCCGCTCGGGATGCACACAATTCCTTGTTGAATGAAACTGCTGTTTTTTTTTCAATCACAAATTGTTATTTTGTGTTTCTTGTTAATTTCTAAGGAACCTATAATTGTTCTAATCCTACGGATTTTCTCTCACGTTTTGCGATTCATTTATTGAAGAGTGTATTTAAGTGTCAAATGTTAAATCGGATTTTAATTCAAGATCTTTACTTGATGTGATGGAAAGGAAATTTTTAATTCGCGATTCTCCCACCCATGCGTGAAACTAATTTTTTGTTTCTTCCATGTACAATGTACAATCCCCTTGTACCTCTACCTCTCTTGACGCACAATTCTTTCGGAAGCCTATATCGGATACAAACTAGCTACTTGCATTAATATACTTATAATTATGAATGCCAATAAATCTATATAAATAAATTTTTAATATTTCAGATGTCGTACTTTACTGCATTCTTTCCCTTTTTTGGCCTTATCGCCCTCCTCATCATCGCATGTCTGGAAGAAGGATCTTGGGAAGGCATTAAATTTTTCTTCAAGCCTGACCTGGAGAAACTTAAAGATATAAACGTAAGTGCAGTGTGGCATTTAATTTACATATTTCTAATTAGTACTTGAAATATTGATTTAGAAACCAAGTATAAGTTTCGATTAGATAACATTTTCTAAATTTTTACAGGTTTGGTATAAAGCCACGGAACAATCGTTTTTCTCTTTGACTGTTGCATATGGGAACATTGTAATGATAGCTAGTTACAATAAGTTCCATAACAACGTTTACAGGTACGTAGAACATTCTAAAATCGCTGCAAATTACAAGGGCAATTCGGAAACAAACTTCCGTTTCGCTGTAAAGAAAAAACCCACATATACATTCAAGTAGTTGTCATTGCGTTTTACCAACTTTCAATCATAAATAACAAATCATAAATAACTTACCAATATAAATCTCCGCCGCCTGCGACTTCAGCCAACTTATCACAGAGGTTTGAAGTTCCTTATCATCACCGAAGTGCTGTGCCTTAGGCTACTTCATTGTAGGAAACAAATGGTAAACAGAAGGAGCCACTCCTGGCTGTAGGAGGGATATTGAAATACCTTCCATTTGAATTGAGGCAAAAAAATTTGTGTTTGTGTTCTCTTAGCATTGTGAGAGTGAGCTTTATCATGCAGCAATACAACCTCAGATATCAGCAAGCCGCGATGTTTGTTCTGGATGGAATGTCCGCGATGTTTGTTCTGAAGTGTTACAGTACACTTCAGAATTAATTGTCGTACGAATGAATTTGACAATAAAAATTCCATTAGCATTTCAAAACACGGTGACCATCTTCACTCGCGCATTACACCTTCACTCATAATGTTTGGGCTGTATACAACACACAATTCAACCAAGACCACACTGAATGCCTACCACAAACAGTTCTTTTGTTTCATGAAATTATATTACTCCTCTTACCTTTCACCACAGTCAAAGTAACAATCCTAGTTGCTTAATCTATTGACAAAAGAAATCTTTGTTTTTTGATGATTAAAAATGATGTTTCAATTTTAATTATACTCTAATTTAAATATTTAGCTCTTCAATTTTTGTACGACCTCTAAGCGTGATTTCAAACTTCAAAATTAAATATCTGGGTCAATGCCTATCACATAAGGAACAAGCATTTTGCATAGTATTTTCTATAACCAGTCCAAATTTCTAGTAACTGTTATTACTGAGCCTATAACTACTGGGACTGGGACTGGACGGAAAATAATTTAAATTTTATGATTTTAAGAAAGCGATTTTTGAAATTTAAAATATAATTGCATAATATTTCCTTTATTTAAAGCATTTTTATAATTGAAAGCATAAATCTGCGACCAGGGAGTGGGAAGATATAGACCGTATGAAGAATTTCGTTGACAAAATGTATACTTGGTGGAAAAATAATTTTGTTCTGTGAACTTCATATGAATAGTTACTTCTTTAAATTCATTATTAGTGTAGTGGTATTGGTTATAGTTTCAAAAAGGCAAATAGTGAATATTTATAAATGAAAGAGGACCATGTAATCAGATGATGTTCAAAATAGTGTTCAAATGAAGCAAGAATTTCTACATACCGTGATAGTAATGAAAATAGAACAGTTATTGATGAAGAATGTGTGGATAATTTACCATAAGACTTTCAAGTCCATTAATTCAAAAGCCTACTGATAAAAATTAGAGTTAGTAAAGTATAAATTAGGAGAAAAAAGTTCTAGAGCAAATGTTACAAGCGTATTTTAAAAGAAAATGCACTGTTTTACTAAACTCTCTCAGTAGCAACCTCGTTTTGTAATGAGTTTTATCAGATTAGATGTAGAAAAAATTAAACACAGCAACAGAGTTGCACAATTTAACATGTAACGGTTTCTGTTGCCCCCAAATCTCTCTTTTCTGTATTTAAGCGTTCTGTATTCATATAAAGAGTTGATTAGACTAGGGGTAAAACGAAACAACTAAAAATGGTACTTTATTGGAAACCCACAACAATTTTTAATGAAAAATTACGTTAAAATAAAATCCCGAACTAAGAGTTTTAGTATTAAAGACATTTGTATTAATGGTATTTGATTTTGCTAAAATTGATAAACCAGAAGTAGTACCTTACTTGAAACTCTGAATGGACTTTCGTAAAAAAATATATTTGGAGATAATCCAAAACATCTCAAATTTGATATTTAAAGTAGGTATGTAGTTGAGATTCCATTTATAAGCATTAAATGTATTCTTGGAATTAAAGCCACCTGCGCTTGTGATTGGTTTGCCTGCAATCTACCAAAAATTCTCCATCTCCATTTGTGGATTTTTGACCATTCGTTTGTGGCTGCTCATTTTAGCTGACAACTTATAAAATTTAGCCAACTCTTGCGAGAAACACGGCGAATATAGTGAAGGCACAAATCGTCGAAAACTCCTCGTGCTCACAATCACAGTTCCAAAATTACACTGTGTACAGTTATGTATTCGACTTTGAATATTCTGCGGAATATTTAGTACCTCTGATGTAGTACCTTTCTAAAAATAGACATAATTTGGAAATTCTCTTAAATTTGCATTCGAATGTAAAAGGAAATGAATGGCAATACGTAGCACTCTGACGGGAGTTCTAAAGATCTGCCGCTTTAAAAAAATTTTGTGATTGTTAAGTCGCTGATTTACGAATTTTAAACAGCATTTGACCAGAGGATGCGATATTTTCAGCCCGAAGCACGAGACCGTATGTGTACATGAGCACGTAAAGTTAGCATTGTCCATTTAAAAAATAAAAAAAAAAACGAGTTGTGTTTATAATTAACATTGACCCATAAAGATTATAAACAAATTAGAATTTAGTTACAAACGATTAACCGAAAATACGGTTGATCATAGTTTACTGTAAGGTCACTGCAATTCCAAATCTTAATATGGGACTGGAAGGGATGGTCCATATCATACTTTTATTTTGATCCTTATATTGTAGTATTCTAAACAATTTACAAGGACTTTCTAAACAAAAAATATTAAAATTTTTTATAATTAATTGCCTGTGAAATCCTTATTAGGTAATAAAATATTAATGCAAATAATTCGTAATATTGTTCTTTAATAAATTTTCCTCTTTTGAAGGGATGCAATGATTATCAGCGTTTTGGACACATTTGTCAACATATTAGCTGGATGCGTGAGCTTCGCCGTTCTGGGATCGTTGTCTCATAAATACGCCAAGGACATCAGGGAAGTGGTTAACCATGAAGGTAAAAATTTATTTTCCTTACATAATTTTTGTACAGTAGCGACGCTTAATGTGATCGCGTTTGTCCAAGGTTATTTTGGTAACATGAACCGAATGTTGACATTAAACGATGTGGGAAAAAATTTCCTTCAAAAGAGCAGTGGAATTTAACAAATTTAATGTTTAAAATAATCAGAATTGCATGTCGTTGAAATATGCGCTGAAATTTCGCGATTACAATACTTCCTTTTACTTCGTACAAGGAAGTAAAAAAGTCAAACCCAGCTTCTCACCAGAGCCGCTACTTACAGTGTCTCACAAAAATGATGGGACACTTGTGTTTTACAAAAGGAAACTGTAGTAAAATAAATTTAAAAAACATGTAAAAATTTTTTGTGGGTGTGTTCATACTTAAATTTAGTAACAAGTATTACTAACATACATTTCTCAAAATATTAAAATATTAATTTAATAGAAATACAATTGTTTAGAACGGAGCAAAAAATGGTTCACATAAGTGATGGGACACTTACTTTTCCATCAAATATTTATCCAAAACTAATTTTCGACTAATTTTTTTGTGATTTCTGGAGTGATTTTACCCCATTCTTCTTGAAGCACCGATTTTAATTGTTGTTTTGAAGAAATGGTGTGTTTGCGAATTCTTGATTCCAATTCTTGGCAAATATTCTGTATGGAATTTAAGTCTGGAGACTGTGGTGGTGTTTTTATTATTTCAGGACAGTTATACAGCATATTCTAGAAAGCAGCAGCCAGAGTCTAATGTTCAAAGCAGTGTGCGTGGGGTCATTGTCCTGGTAGAATTTAAAATCGTTATGAAGGTTCAATTTTCGCGCTGAACATTTTCAATTTTGATTTAAAATGTCAATATACTTGTACTGATCCATTATACTGTCAATAAAAACAAGAGTACCAACTCCAGCGGATGAAATACACCCCCATACAACAACTCCTCCTCCACCATGTTTTAATGTTGGCGCCTAGTTCTGTTTTCGAAATTCTTCCTTGGGTTTTCTCCACACCAAGATTCTACTGTTAGAATCAAATATATTAAATTTACTCTCATCAGCAAATATAACTTCATTCCAGTAATCAGAATTCTTATTTATGTTGGATTTTGCGAAAGCCAGTCTGAGTTTTCTATTCTTTTCACTCACGAAGAATTTTTTCCTGGCTGCTCTACCGTAATATCCAGCAGATCGAATTCTAATAGTCTCAGGTTTAACAATTACTCCATATAATGCTTGTAAATCAGGCAGCAACTTTAGAAGCACTCATTCTTGGAATTTTTTTAATATTTCGAACGATAATTCGCTTTATTCCATTGGATAGCTTTGATGATCGGCCAGGTCTTCTTTTATCCTGAATCATATGATTCTTTTTATATCGTTTAATGATATTGTAAACTGTTGAATGACTCAAGTTAACTGTTTCAGGAGTTTTTCTAACAGATTTTCCACGTTCCATATGCAAATTAATAACTAATTTTCGAATTTCAGGCAAAGTTTCTTTTCGTTTAGCATTCATGGCTGCACAGAGCTAAAAATCACAAAAATTCCAAAACAAACTGGAGAGAAATACTGCAGACGACTTTATACATTATTGCTAATTGCTTTTGAGTAAAAATAAAAACCCCCAAAAATATTTTTATTGTAGTACGTAGTAGTATCTAATGGTGTCCCATCACTTATGTGAGCCATTTTTGCTACGTTTTAAACAATTGTATTTTTATAAAATTAATATTTAAATATTTTGAGAAAATGTATGTTATGTAATAATTGTTACTAAATTTAAGTATGAAACACACCCACAAAAAATTTTTACATGTTTTTTTAATTTATTTTATTACAGTTTCCTTTTGTAAAGCACAAGTGTCCCATCACTTTTGTGAGACACTGTATATCTTATTTTCATTATTATTAAAAATGAGCGTGAGTAACGCCCAGAAAATCTGCAGATGGAGTTAATTAATTTATACTGGGATAGAAATCTTACAGATCTCAAAATACAGGTTTGATTAACTTTTTCCGGGGTTATCAAAAGATAAATACGCTCAGTTATGAATTTTTGCAATAACATTAATTCCTTTGCTTGCGATTAGAATTATGTGACACATTTTTTTCCCTCGCAGTTGAAAATTCTTAAATCCACAAAGAAGAACTAAATTTACAGACGAGTATCTACAATTCGTGAGGAGGATATTTTCTAGCAATTTTTCTCTAAGGTACAAAGTTTATATCAAAATCAAAATGCCATCAGGTATTGTAACTGAAAGTTGTAGTGGAAATAAAGTTTATAATTATTTACATCCAAATATACGTATTCTTTCTGTATGCACGAAGGAAAAATTTAATTAGAAAGAGCAGATGTTATTATTTATCTCAAATTGTTTCCTACTTAGTTTTGTAATTTGTTGGTTAATTAGTTAAGTAACCTAAGCCTGAAAGTTTAATATTTAAGCTTTCAATAATTTAGAATTACAAAGTGATATCATTAAGAATTTCTTGCAGAGATCAGCTTCCGATTTAAATAAATATTAAATGGAATTTTTTCCTTTTAATATTTATTGCGTTGTTATTAATACTCTTTTACATGTTTTGATATATATATTTACTAAATAAATTTCAAATAAATAAAATTTTTCTGAATAAAATTTTAAATTTAGTAAAAAACGTTTTCTTAAAAATAGTTATTATTTTCGAAAATAAGAAAAAGCAGTTTTTGACCCGTCAGCTGCTTTGATCGTGTATTTGATCCGCATATAGTTTGAATTAGAGACTACTGTTTTAAAGTACTAAAATATCAAACGACTTTCAGACAATGTATTTAAAGTTGTGTAAAGTTCTGTGGCGCCATCTATCGAATAACTGAAAATTTACATCAGCTGTTTAAAATTTCAAGAAACATATTTTTCATTAAATGTAGGTTTAAACTAAATTTCCCTCAATTTTTGTACTTAAAACAAATAAGAAAAGTGGCTGTGTGTAACGAGAAGATTTGGAAGAAATATTATAAAGGAATTTAAGAAAAGATTAGATTTCTTCGGATAGAAAGAAAGCAAAGTTATCTGAAAATGTAGTATGGTATAAATTTGTTCCCCAGGTAATTCAAAAAATTAAATTTCTCAAAAAAAGTCATCCTTTTAAATTTTTGTTCCGCTTTAAGTTAAGAAGTTTTTTCTGAAACTTGAATGGAACATTTAAATAAAAAGCATCTTAGCTTACTTGGGCAATTAGAACAGATTCAGTGCCGAATAAACAAAACTGATTTTAGAAGTAACAAGAATAATACATAGGATTCAAAATGGCCAATTAGTTTGTTTTCATGCATTCTTTTAAAATTAAAAATTAAAATGTAGTTCATATTTTACCGGTAGTTAAAATGTTATATAAAAGTCAAATTAATTCTCTAGAACCCTGTTAGACATTATTCAGGGGCCGGAGGGATTATTAAAAATCTAAACGAGAAGCTTTATTAAGAAGAAAACTTGTTAAAAAATAAAATTGCCAGCAATGCATTTAAAAATCACCAAAAACATAAAAAATACGGTATTTATATATTAACGCAATCACCTTGGCGCAATCTGGAGAGTATTTACAGATCAAGGTATAGGTTACTTTATAAGGTATTTCTCCTGCCTTCTTAGCATGCCTTTGTGGTGTAGTATTTGAAAGGTCCGTGGCTCGAGTCCCGGCGAAGGCATTGCTCATTTTTTATCTCTCCTTCTTCAAAAATACCTAATGTCTCCTGTTGCACCCGAACTAAAAGGTCTTGAATGATGATTCTTCACCACTAGGATTTGGCAATTGGGTCCCCTAAAACCCCAGTCGCCGTTTAAAAAAGAGGGAGTATATGAGGTATTTCTCCCGCCTTCTTAGCATGTCTTTGTGGTGCAGTGGTCACGCGCTCCACGCGTGTTTGAGAGGTCCGTGACTCGAGTCCGGGAGGGCATTGCTCATTTTTCATGTCTCCTGTTTTAAAAATACCTAATGTCCCTACAAATTATAGGTTGCAAGTTGGTGGTTTTCGCGCATTTTTTTTTTCTTTTTAAAAAAAATTTTTTTTTTTTTTTTTAGAAAAATTTCCAAACAAAAGAGGTTTGTTGAGAGTCGGTAAACATTATCAATAGATGAAAAAGAAAACATACTTCAGCAATTTTAAATACACATTTTAATTATTAAATAAGGGTTACAGGATGCGTTAAAAAATAAAACACTGACATTATTCTACAAATCTTGCTGTAATTTGTTTCCCCAGTTCTTCTCCAAAAATACATAGTGATCTGTTTTCGCTTAAGGTTTTGGTTTGGTTTATTTAATTACGGCAAAGCACACTTGGGCTATCTGCCTAAGGGGAGGGATGCCTTCATGGAGGACTTTCTAAGGGAAGCTGGCTTGTATACACGTTACATATGGAGAAAACTACGAAAACGCCCATGCAGCCAGCCCATTCGCGGCATTCGAAACTCGGACCGAATTAGCAGTTCGCTTAAGAAAAAACTTCAGAGAACTGCGGCCACTCGGCGTCGGGCAAACCTCGGCAATAGCGACTGCTATCTAGGATACGCATTTCCTCGGTGTTCCTTTTAGAAAAGTTTCAGCAAAATTTTGCATTCCTGCAGAAAGTTTACCGCAGTTTCTTTCATTGCTGGAAGATTCCGCAAGCTCATATTTTAAAAGTAAATTTAAGGCAAAATATACTATGATTTTTTAATAAAGACCGTTGAACGTGGAATATAACACGAAAAAAAAAATGCGAAAATGGCGACGTTGCGTGATTAAGGATTCTTATGAGCATGATTGTCGGATGGTTTGGTTTTGGTTTGGTTTACTTAATTATGGCAAAGCACACTAGGGCTAACTGTCTATGGGAAGGGATGCCTTCGTGGAGGACTTCTTAAGGGAAATTGGCTCGTATACACTTTACACATGGGGAAAACCACGAAAACGCCCATGCAGCCAGCCCGTTCGCGGGATTTGAATCTCAGACCGAACTACCAGT